ATTTCTTTCTTCTTCCATGACCAATTCTCGTAAAATCTCGTCAATAGTATCTTCATAACATTCATTATCACTAAGATTATATTTATCAGTATCCAAATCAGAATCTGACGATGTAATTTTATTTATGCTTCTCCTTCCGGGCAATCCGATCTCTTTTCATTATTGAAAAAAATAAGGGCAGAGATTTTAAGTTATACCATTCGGTACTCGGCAAAGATTCCAGCTGTTCATGCAGAAACAGAAACAGATATGAATTAACAGCGCACGCTTCCTACAGCGGTACGGGTGGCCTGTAGGAGATTTTGTTGTAAATACGCGGGGCAGTCAACGTGTTAATCCTTCAAGTAAATATGTCGGAACACGATAAATACAAATAATATTCTCCTTCTAAGAAATGATTAAAATCAAAAAAATTCCAATCATTGTTACTGTGAAGATAATGGTACGGCAAGGGGTTAATATACAAAAATATAGTCCAACTTTTGTTGTAAATACGCGTGGCAGTCAACGTGTTAATCCTTCAAGTAAATATGTCGGAACACGATAAATACAAATAATATTCTCCTTCTAAGAAATGATTAAAATCAAAAAAATTCCAATCATTGTTACTGTGAAGATAATGGTACGGCAAGGGGTTAATATACAAAAATATAGTCCAACTAATCCATCGAAAACAAATGTAACGCAGTTCGAATTCACCCGAACTTCCGCGCGCGCGTTATTCTTCGGCAATTAATGTTCCGAGAACCTTCGAACTTTTAGGAGAACTAACGCAGACCTTTCCGGTTGCAGGCGCACGAGCCACCATCCGCAACGATTCGACAAGGACATCGACGATCGACCGCTCACTGATTCAAACGAACGACAGTAATTAAAAGCTGCGAATCTAGACGGTCCCCTGGTTCCGCCCCTTCGGCTCTTTTAGACGGTGACGTCCCTCTTTGTCCACGACGGAATTCGCCGAGAAGAAAGTCAAGCAAAGGAGGATTGATCCTAGCCGAGCGAAAGAGAAGGGTAACGGGAGAAAGTGTTCGGAGAGGGATGGAGAAAGCGCGAGAGAGATGGGGGAGAATAGGGCGACAGAGGGAAGAGAGAGCGGAAGACACAGCCGGCCTATCGGTCTACTCCATCTAGGGTCCCAGGTTCATCGTGAATACGAATGAGCTCCTGGTCGATCGGGCTCGAGCACTAATTGAGAAAGTTCCACGACGGTGCCGCTAGTGTTTCCTCTGGATGAAGATAGCCGACCACCTCCGGGGGTAAGTCTTCCTCGTCCATTCCTCTTCTTCGTGATTAAGGCCTGTTCCTTTAGGCGGCTTCCCGCTGCTAGCGGGTAACCACCAGGGAAACCGGCGATTCTTGGCGGTTCAAGCCGCTCGTAAGTGACGTATCTCGGGATCGGCCCGCGGATGTTTAGCGTAAAAGGGGAACTCCCCGTCGTTTCGCTGAATTGGAGTTTTATTCGTGGCCGCGATAGAAATTATTCCTCTCGGCCATCAGTTTTCCGAGATTGATCGCTCGTTCTCAGACTATCCGATTAAAATTGAAAAGTTTCGTGACTTCGCGGCCCTGCGCCGGTTGCCTCGTTTTATCAGCTTTCTTTGTCCGGAGCCTTTTAGCTACTTTCTTAGCTTTATCTCTGTTGAACCTGCTTGACACGGCGTCGTATACTTGCCAGCCGGTCTCGCACTTTAAGACTTTGCATCTTTTTTAAATGGGCGATGCATGACTCGGGACATTGCTTTGAGTTTGTGCCAGTTTGCCGGACAGCTTGCTTCGGATTAAGCAATTTCTCCTCGGTTCTTTTCAGTTATAATAAATGAAACGAAGTGAGAGTCTTATCTTCATTTCTCCTCTCGGGTTAATTGAACTTGAAGCGGTGTTCGAAACAGTGAGCCAGAGAACTACGTTTAAATGCACTGTTTTAGATTGGCACAAACGTGGACCAAAATGGTACACATCTATTCCAAATCTGAATTCCTTCTTGATATGCAATAAAGTTTAATCATTCTATGGAAATTTTATGGGAGTCGAAAGGATGAATTTCTTTTATTAACTGGAAGATTTCTTATGGTAAAAGTAAAACAGAAATTAACCGTTTATGTTCTAACAACGACTCAAACTTTTGATGATTTCACACCTATTAATGATTTGAATTTCTTTTAAGTCGAAACAGAATTTGAATTCTTCGTTATTAAAATCTAGAACTGTAGAAACGAAAATTGTCTGGCTAGGTTAGAAAAATTGTGTAAGAAATCATCGTGCAAGGAGTTATGTTTTGTTGACAATCTCGTAGCTATAAGATTTTATTTAGATATTTTTGACCGAATGTTGATTCTATACTGAATGTATAACGACAGTAGTGTTGGTTAAGTAGTTAGACAGTCACGCAACATAAATTATGGAGCATCTGTACAACTGTAGAATGAGGAAAACGATAAGGCTCATCAAACGATGTAGTACCACGTGTCACGCGACTATGATCGGACGATAGAGATTGCGGCCTGCTGTTCCAAGTTTCCGCCAAGTTTTCGATATTAACTGTTATCAAGATGAGGAGTATCAGATAGGGAGAAAAGCCTCGTCGCTATGGGGCTGCTGGAGAACACAGTCCTCGAGCTACGCGGATGCTTCCGTTTCGAACTTGTAACGGTAACGAAATCGATGAAATCTCGGTGACATTAACAATTAACGCAATTGAAATTTCCTCTCAATAACTGATATCCACGAGCGAGAGAGAGAGAACGCCTGACATATAATATTTACTCCTTTGCACTGCTAGCCACTTTAACTTTTTGGGGCACAGTGGGATTAAAAATGTTCCATTTTTTTATGCACGATAATGCATGGTGGGACATTTTTAGACCCACTTTGAAATATTGCAATAGCTTCACGTACATTCGTGAACCTATTTTGTAGTAACAAAACAAATTGAATTGAATTATTATTATTTTTTTATGTTTTTATATCATGCGATTCCTTTGTTAATAAAAATATATCAATTTTGTTTAATTTAAAACACGATAAAATTTCTGTGCAACATGGATCTATTTTATTTTCTGAAGTGCTGTGTTCCCTCCAAAAAAAAGAGTTAACTCTAAATCCAAAATAGTTTCTCTAACTTGAAATATTTCCATTTTATATGACTTAGCGCATTTTATCCACATGAAATCGAGTCTTGCGATTCATACAATAAATTTGATAGCGTAAAAATTATTTTGGAACACGATACAACGATAGAGAGAGGAGAGAGAGAGAGAGAGAGAGTCATCACTCGAGTGAAAATGATTATGTCAAGATTATGTCAAAATTGTCAAACAATCGAAACGCTTTTGTGATTTCAGTAATTCCAGCAAAGTTATGAAAAGAATAATCGTCGATATTACGAAGATTTCGAAAATCCACGTCGGCTTTTGAAAGCGGCAGTTTCTACGTAGGGTCACTTCAAAAAAATAAAAAAAAATAAAAGAAATGGTCCGTGGCGTAAATTTTTCTTTGAGTACGCGCATTCGTTAAATGAAAGCTCGGCTCACCGATCGGATGGACGAGGTAGCGCGATGATGCCAGCAGCAGCAGGATCAATTCGAGTTCAACCATGATGGCTTCGATTCATGTGTCCATCGTGCGTTCATCCATGAGTCCTCCTGTAATAGAAAAATCTGTATGAGTGCGCGATCGTTGCATCTACTGGTGAAATCCGACTGGTACTCGAACACGGAATCCTCGTTAGAATTGGGTGCTCGTGACGGAAACTGAATCATTCTATTCACACGCATTATTTTCTTACTAGAATTTCAAAATGATATTACAATTGACCACTTCGAGACTCGACTATCGTAACGAGCAGTTTGATACGTGCGGCACCACTCGGGTGTTCAATTATGGAGGTTCGATTAGACACGAAAGTTCCAAACGAAAATGCGAAATTAATTTCTACTGTTCCTCTAAACTCTAAGCACGCCTGGCTTTGCTAACTAAGCGTTTTATTGACGATTCAATTGAGTACATCTTGCTCCGCAATATATACAAGTGATTATGTTATATTAAAATGATAACGGTAAAACCTTTTTAGCATTTTTCGAATCAAATTCACGTTTTTTTTTAAAATCAAATTTACCGTTTTATAAATAGTCATCCTATAATAGGTTTTTGGTGCAATAGGTTATATGATATATAACCTATAACATAATAATAATTAATAATATAACCAATAGCCAATAATATTTTAATATAATATAATAATAGCCAATAATATTTTAATATAATATAATAATAGCCAATAATATTTTAATATAATATAATAATAACCAATAATATTTTAATTGGTTTGCAATAGTCATCCTATTGCAAATAATATTCCGTCTTTTGCAAGTCAAATTCACCCTTTCGCAGATCAAATTGACTTTTCAGCATGACCTCCTACTTTGTTTACTTAAACTATTTTAATAGAAATAAAGTCCAACGTAAGTTTGCTGTCCTGAAATTTTTAGTTTTATTGTATGTACGTCACAATGAACTTAAAATACTTATTTATTAACATCCATGAAAAATATCTTTTCCACAGAATTTATTTTTTCAACAAGTTTGAATCGACCTTGTCGGATCAAGAAATTCGTGCACAGTTCCTGGATCTCACAAAGACTTACACTGTTGAAAATTAACTGTATTTCATTCGATTGTGCTCATTCAGATTCTACAATGATCTCTGCAGCAATTTACAAGAAATATTTGAAGTTACATTTATATAGTTTCGCTCTCGAGACGCTTACAAAATGAATTCGATTTGCAAAAGAGTATATTTGATTTTTCAGGAAAGGTGAATATAACTAACAAAAGGAGGAATTGTAGGATTGACATCTGAAAATCGAGATAATGATTCGAATTATGTATATGTACTGCTCCCTAATATATCAAATATTATTATTAATATTTACTTATAACAGGCATTTATTTACGCGACGATATATCAGATATTGCCGTGCCGCTTCCCAAAAAAACGCGAATCACTGTCAGAAATAAATATTAATTTTCGCGGAAATAAATATCCATAAGCGCGGCAGTTTATAGAAATTTATCATATCTCATGAAACGAATAACGTTCACTAGCAGTTTTATTTTTCGCGCGGTTTCTTGTCGATTCGCGAGCAGCATGATTATGAATACGTTAATTGGCAATTATCTGGGCGCAACGAGAACGGCGAAGTGTAAATTACGATCGCTGCGAGACGTTTTCGTCGAGATTGCGATCATGTCCGTGAATCGAGTGCTGCGAAACTGTCCTCTCGCGTTTCAACAGGTCGAATTATAAAATTAATCAAGAAATATGGACGAAATATCAATACTGCATAAATGTATTAATTAACCGTATTCACTGTTCAATTCGAAGACTCGACAGACTTAAAATGTTTGCCTCGCATTTCGCCGCGTACTGTGGAGAAATGCAAGAAAGTTGTAAGAGTGGTAGTTTTCGAAAACCCTAATCGTATCTGGATAATTCACAAATTGAATAACAGAGACACGGCAGCAAAGGAATGTAAAATGTGGAGAACGACTGGGGGTACTGAAACTGGGAAACGGTGTTTCGATTAGCTGTCGCACGGCGGAACGTTAGACAGTCGAATAAAAGGCGGAGCTGGGCCGGTTCCAACACACGATAGAGTTTATTACCTCTCCATTGGAAGCTAATCTAACTACACCGTATCCCGGTACCGCGAACTTGATACGATATACTAAAAGTTGCTTCCACTTTGTGTATAAATTTATCGGCAATAAATATTAAATAGGTTTTAAATATTGCTTGAAATTAGAGAAATTTTTTGGGGCGAATTACACACAGTCCCAAGGTTATCCGATAAAAGCTTGTTAGTTAAAAGAAGCTGTTTGTTAAAATTATTTAATTCTCCGACCAATAGTGAGTGCATATATCTCTGGACAAAATTCTAGCGTTTTTTACTAGTTGTAGAATTTAAGATTGAGTGGAAAATGAGGCGAACGACCAATGAGCGAACACTCAATCAAATCGACAGATTTATTCCACATAATACGCGATATACAGAGTGTCCCAAAATTATGGTATTTCAGGGAAATAAGGAGTTCCTGAGATCGTTTGAAGTAATTTTTTTCTTTACAAAAATTTTCCCCGAGGCATCGTTAACGAGTTATTAACGAAAAACAGTGACCAATGAGTGGCGAGCTCGGCTGGCGCGAAGCGGCAGAGCCATTCAGCGGACGAAGCCCAGTTCAGCTCATTGGCTCGGCCGTCTACCGTCAGCTAATCTCGCCTCCCATTGGTCACTATTTTTCGTTAATAACTCATAAACGATGCCTCGGGGAACATTTTTATAAAGGAAAAAGTTATTTCACTTTCGCTTGTACAATAATTTTGGGACGCCCTGTATTGGGGAGTCTCTCTTGAACATGTGTTCTCGATATCATTTCCGATTTGCGAATTACGAACAAGTAACTGGAAATGACCAAAATGTGCAATTTTCTTATTGAAGTAAAAAAACCAGCACGAAGCTGCACGCATTTTATTTTTGTAACAGACTCTCGTACGAAATTGCAATTGATATTTTAAATTCGACACCTCTTTCAGTTGTTATTAATCAGAGTACTGTCACTTTTAACACGTTGACTGCCGCGTCACCCGTATTCGGGTGACAGCAAAAGTTCTCATCATTCGGGTGACGCTGATTTGACTACTTACAAAGGATTTCCGAAAATATTTGGACAAATATTTTACAGAAGGTAATGAAACTATTGAATTCTTATAAAAATGGTTTATTAAAAAAACGATTCGCAGTGTATAACATTAAAACATTCTCTGCAAAGTTGAGGTTGACCAGGACAGCTTGGACAAAAAGTTGTTGGTTTTTTCAGATTTGCTCGTGCCTCTGATCGGTCCATTTCGTATCTTTTATTTGAGCTTTTATTTGAACTGTAGCTTCCTCGGTATCATCAACATTTCTTTCTTCTTCCATGACCAATTCTCTCTCGTAAAATCTCGTCAATAGTATCTTCATAACATTCATTATCACTAAGATTGTACTTATCAGTATCCGAATCAGAATCTGACGATGTAATTCTATTTATGCTTCTCCTTCCGGGCAATCCGATCTCTTTTCATTATTGAAAAAGAATAAGGGCAGAGATTTTAAGTTATACCATTCGGTACTCGGCAAAGATTCCAACTGTTCATGCAGGAACAGAAACAGACATGAATTAACAGCGCACGCTTCCTATAGCGGCATGGGTGGCCTGTAGGAGATTTTGTTGTAAATACGCGTGGCAGTCAACGTGTTAAATGTTATAGTTTAAAAAATAACTCGAACTGGAAAAATAGCGCAAACCGACAAAAATTAGATTTTGGTAACAAACACTCGCGCGACGGCGCTGAACAGGAGCGTACCAGGTAATGCTTTTCGCTAGTGGAGAACGAGCGTGTAAAATATGAAAATTGTAACAAGGGCCGACGCAACAATCCCCGGTGCAACACAATTAGCGCGCAATAATCCCGCCATCTGCGCGTTCCGAAATGCGTACACGAGAAACGTCTACGGTAAAACGAAGCGCGCGGAGGTGTGAACGCAACACGCGGATCTCGCCGCTCGCGTAATCTGCGAAAATCGGTTCCCGATAATTCAGAAATCGGATAGTCTGGACGATGATACAATGACAAAGGAATATGAGAGCTGGAGAACAAAAGAGAAACCGGTGCACCGACAGCTGTTTCAATTAATAGAGTGACTCCGAGTGGGGATGAGACACGCAGGGGTGGTGTCTATGGTCGTCGAGCGGGGCTGGGCGATCGGTCGAGTAGCTTCGCAACACGGTTGATCCGTAGTCCGTGCCGATGGCCGATGAAACCAGGTACACGAAGAGGTGTAGGCAGCACTCTCCGGCGTCTACCTGGCTTATTCGAGATACCCGGCACATCACCGCGAAATCCCGAGCACACATTTTCCAAACGAACGACCGCTTGTCTCGCTATAGGCTCCAACGGATGAATGGCTGCACGACGCCGGATCCATGGGAATCGTAGTCATCGATCGGCATTAACAATGTACAAGCGGCTTTCGTTCGCGATAAGGCTTTGCGATCAGGGATACGCGTATCGCGGATTAATTAGGAATTTCAAGAGGAGAGCCGCATCGTTCCCGCCGTTATACAGCCGCTGCCTATACCTTCGTTCCGCTGATCGCAGGACTAGTTTCTAATTAATTCACCGGTTCCACGAATGCAAGAACTCGGATCATCGTGGTTATTGCGCTCGATCTCGATTACGGATTCTTTTGTTAACCTTCGGGAGTACCGGCTAATGGCCGCCACTCAAGCTACACGGTAGAATCTCGATTATTCGGGTTAATCAGTGACATGGATGTCGGGATAACGGAATGCTTAATTACGGTGCCAGATTTCATTTTTATTAATTTCTAGTTAATCTGGATTTATGGGAGAAATTTGTTTCGATTAGTCGCGAAAGTTCGAGATGTCGGCGATGAACATTTATTTCAATCGTTCATAACTGTTGTCGGAGAGACGAATTCCATTTGGATCACTTATAATTGTTATAGATGAGAGAAATTATATTTTGATCACTTTTTGTGTTGCGTATATCCTGAATGTATTTGGCTGAACAACTTAA